GAGGTCTTGCGTGGTCCTTATCCTTTCGCTGATCTGGCGATAATAGGGACCTAGGAGGGCTCGGTTTCGCTCATCATGTTCGATCTGAAGTGTGTCACATCCGAACTTGCGCTTGAGTTCCTCCATTCTCGCGTAGGACCTTGTTGGCTGCCCTTCCAGGAGAATCATCTCTAACATCGCTTTGGGCCAGCGTGCTGCTGGCATGGATGCGATACGGGCGAAGTATTTGAGCTTGCTCTTGGCTTCTCTCGCTTCAAACGAGGACCAGTTGAGTTCGGCTTCGAGAAATTCGTTGGCAACCTTCCACCCTGGTATGCCAAGCGCCCAACGTGCGGCATTACGTTGCGAAATCTCCATCGCGTCGCGCGTTGCCGCGGTCATCGATGTGACAGCGTTGGTGTAGTGAAGAATGATAAAGATGGTAACATTGTTAGAAGGTTCAAAACCCTAAGGACGGTTTTGGTAATCTCAGCCTCAGAAAGGCTCTACCTGCATCAAGCAGAACAAATGTCTGCACTGTCTTCCTCTCAGCCCCACTTGATCGCAGGCGGTATATGAAATAGCCTGCTGGCTTTGAGGATGGAAGCACCAGGGTCTGTGAGCTAAAGAACGCAGTCTATGGTACTGTTCAAGCTCCCAAGTGCTTTAATGAAAAGCTAAACAGTACACTCTTGAGATTGAAAACCATCGAGCTAAAGAGAAGTGATCGAGACCCGTGCCTGTATTATTCCAATCCCCCGAAGCGTGTTTTCGTACTCATCCTTGCGGATGACTGTTTGCCGGCAGCCTGCAGTGAGAAAATGATTGAGGACCTAATTGAGGAACTCCAGAATACATTTGTGCTCACCACGAAACCGCTTGAACTGTTCTTGGGATTGAGAATTCAAATCTCCCCTGATTGAGGGAGGACCAAGATCAACCAGGCTCAGTACATCAATGAGTCCTTGGAGAGATTCCAAATGGTAAATTGCAAAGAGGTCTCAATTCCAATCGATGCAACCTCAATGTATGCATT